AGGGTTTAGAGCTCAGGGTTTAGGATTCCGGGTTCAGGGTTTAGGGTTTAGGGCTTAAACTGGAGTATTTTGGGACCTTGTTCCCGTCATTTCGGGCTGGGGCCCCTTGTCAACGGCCATTTATCACAACAAGGGCACCCTCTGTATTCTTAGGTAGGGATTGAGGGACAACAGAAAGTGAATTCCTAAGTTTCGAGTTGTGTTCTTGTGCCTCTTACTCAGACAGTGAACCCGAGCCACTTTGAGAACGCCTGGCTCGCTAAGTCACAGGGTCTCGCGCGCCGCTGCGTCTCCGCAACTGTCTTTGCAATCGCCGGTGTCTGACACGGCCACAACTCGATGATGGACGATAGATTAGTTTAACTTACGCGAAGTGTCAAACCCTAAATCCTACAGTGTCCTACAGTTTACATAGACGTTGTGTATATATACATATATGTAGAAGTAGGTGTACATTTGTAGATGTATTTATACATACATACACATATACACATATACACACATACACATATACACACATACACATATACACATATACACATACACATACATATACACATACATATACATATACATATACATGTGTTTTTATTCACGCACATATGTATGTATGTTTTTCTTGATGCGCATATACGTCTCTCTCTCTACACATATACATATATACATATATATATATATATATAAACAACCCTTTGTAAGGACCCAGTAAGTACACCTAACCTGTCCTGGTTGTCGAAGAGGCAGCCGAGGGCCCGGTCAGGAGAAAGCCACCCAAGGCCGCGTCGGGAACTCTTTGCATTTAGGGTTTAGGGTTTAGGGTTTAAGGTTTAGGGTTTAGGGTTTAGGGTTTAGGGTTTAGGGTCCGGTTGGACTCTGGAAGGCTTAGAGCTTAGGGTTCAGGAGGTAGCTTGGGATGTTTCTTGTTTTCTCTCATTTGGTTCAAAGAGACTCTTGTCTAGGATTGCTTCTGAGGGGATTTAATGAGCCAGCAAAATGCACCGTCACGGCTGTCGTTCAGTTCAGGACGAGTGCAGAAGCGAAGGTTCTTTGTTCTGCTTGCTGCCATTCCCCCCCTCCCCCCCTGCCAAGCCCTAAACCCCTCTGGAAGCCACAAACCGACAAGCTAGATATGGAGGGGCTCTCCCCATGGTAGCTCTCTCTCTCTCTCTCTCTCTAAGTTCGGGTCCCTTTCCGGCTCCCCTAAATAGCACGGCGCCCCGTAGAATAAGGACCCCAAAACGAGAGCCGGTTTTAGAGCTACCCAAAAGGAAGTCGCAGTAGGAGCCAGAGAAGGCAGCCCAGATATCCCCCCCAACATGCTTTGCCGAATCTCGGCAATGGATCTGCCAATCGAGCCAAGTACTCGTGAAACATCTTTGTGCCCTAAACCCGAAGCCCCAAACCCTAAACCCGAAAACCTCAACCCTAAACCCTAAAACGCCCTAAACCCTAAACCCTGAACCGGCAGGCGAACTCCAACCAGAACCCGGGCGCTGGGCTGTGTCGCAGGTACGAGCTTGACTCGCATGCCCAGTTCTCCTTCTTCTCTTGGTTTAGGGCTTAGGGTTCCAACCATGTCAGGCAATAAACGGGTGCCCGATTTTCTACCTGGGTTGCTGGAGCGTGGGAAGGGTCAACGGCTCATGATTCCGCAGGCCGTATTTTCCTAACTGGTTCTTAGCAGGCAATGAGGGAATGAGGCACCCTATAGAGTTCTTTAAAGGGCATATTTGTATATACATATATATATATACAAGAGGATATGCGGTACCTAGCTCCCTCATTCCCGAATCTTAGTAAGTTTTCTGAACGCTCCCTTTGATGGCTACGCCGTCCACAGCGCGACCCCCCACTCCCTCGTAAGCTCCCTTCGGGCGTTGATTTTTCTAGTCTTCTGGCTGCTCTGAAAGAGTTCAGAGCAAGCAAACCTACACCAGGAAGGTGGGGGATGGTCGGCGCGGGTTGTTGGATTGCGCGGTTTAATGTAAAAGCTGTTTTGATTTAGTTTGATGGGTCACCCCACTCGGGAAAGGGACTAACCCTCTCAAAAGAAAGCCCGCCTTTACACCCCAGCGTGTCTTTTTTTGAGTATACTCACGGTTGGAAGTTGTAGTGTTAAGGGTCGATTTACAGAAACCTTGCTTGAGGGATATGGGAGTCTCTGAGGGAGTAGTAGCCCTAAACCCTAAACCCTAAACCCCAAACCCCAAACCCCTAAACCCCTAACCCTAAACCCCCAAACCCTAAACCCCTAAACCCAAAACCAAAAACCCTATTCCCAAAACCCTACAAGGAGATCAGCGGCTCTCCTTGCAGGTGGCCTCCGAGAGCGTCATGCGGAGCTCCTCGCACTTCGGCTTGGAGGCCACCCCACGGAAAGACTCAGAGGTTTAGGGTTTAGGGTTTAGGGTTTAGGGTTCAGGGTTTAGGGTCTACGGACAAACCTCTCGAAAATTTTGAAGGGGAATTGGGCTCACCGTGCACCTTGCAGGTCTTCCGGCGCTTCTTGCGGGTCAAGCAGGAGCAGACCCCAAACCCTAAACCCCAAACCCTAAACCCGAAACCCCAAACCCCACACCCTAAACCCCAAACCCCAAACCCTAAACCCCAAACCCCAAACCCCAAACCCTAAACCCCAAACCCCAAACCCCAAACCCTAAACCCCAAACCCCAAACCCCAAACCCCAAACCCTAAACCCCAAACCCTAAACCCCAAACCCTAAAACCCTATGCATGCTCCCGGCAGGAGCCAGAGCTGCACTGGCTGGCTGATGAGATGATGCACGTGGAGCTTCCACAAGGCAGGTTTTGCAGGTTTTTCGCGTACCGTTTTTTTTGTTTTTTGGGTTTAGGGTTTAGGGCTTAGGGTTTTAGGGTTTAGGGCAAGGCAGGTTGCAGGTTTTGCAGGTTTTTCGCGTGCCTTTTTTTTTGATTTTTTTTGGGGTTTAGGGTTTAGGGCCTCGGGTTTTAGGGTTTAGGGCAAGGCAGGTTGCAGGTGTTGCAGGTTTTTCGGGTGCCGTTTTTTTTTTTTTTTTTTTTTTTTTTTTGGGGGGGGGGGGGGGGGGGGGGGGTTAGGGTTTAGGCCTCAGGGTTTTTGGGTTTAGGGCAAGGCAGGTTGCAGGTTTTGCAGGTTTTTCGCGTGCCGTTTTTTTTGGGGGGTTTAGGGTTTAGGGCTTAGGGTTTAGGGTTTTTAGGGTTTTCGGGTTTTAGGGTTTTTAGGGGTTCAGGGGTTTAGGGTTTTAGGGTTTTAGGGTTTTAGGGTTTTAAGATTTGGGGGTTTTAGGGTTTTAGGGTTTGAGGGTTTTAGGGTTTTTAGGGTTTTAGGGTTTTGGGGTTTTTGGGTTTTAGGGTTTGAGGGTTTTAGGGTTTTTAGGGTTTTAGGGTTTCGGGTTTAGGGTTTTAAGGTTTTAGGGCTTTAGGGTTTTGGGGGTTTTAGGGCTTTAGGGTTTTTAGGGGTTTAGGGGTTTTAGGGTTTAGGGTTTTAGGGTTTTAGGGTTTTTAGGGTTCTAGGGTTTCGGGTTTAGGGTTTTAAGGTTTTAGGGTTTTAGGGTTTTGGGGGTTTTAGGGCTTTAGGGTTTTTAGGGGTTTTAGGGTTTAGGGTTTAGGGTGTTTTAGGCTTTGGGATTTACTTTTGATGTATGCTTCTAGACGTGCCAGTGCCCATTGAGTCCGAAACCAAAGTGCCGCCGAGCACTTCAAGTGTAGAGTTCTCGATGGCAGCGCTCCTCTAATGTAACCAGCCTGTCAGAGATGACCTCCCGTCGGTACACAGGCTGATGCAAGATACGCCCTAAAGCCTGAATAACCCTAAATATCCCTAAGCCGGAAAGCCTAAGCCCTACACAATGGGTTGCAGCTGCTGGTGAAGGCATGTACCCCATCGACCCCATGTCGGTCGAGTGCAAGTCCCTGGACCGTAGCCTGCCAATACAGAATGCCAGTAGGGTTTGGGGGTTTAGGGTTTAGGGTGTAGGGTGCAGGGTGTAGGGTTTAGGGTTTAGGGTTTAGGGGAGTTGAGAATGTAGAAGTTGGAGGGCTTAGGGTTTGAGATCTCGTCATTTACGAAAATAAGGGACCTAATATGAGCCTCCCATAGGATTCCCTTACTAATACGGACCCCAATAAGGTGCCCCTCATTTCAGAAACCCCATGTGTGTGGCGTTATAAGTGCAGAGGGCCTTGGCAGTGCTCCTCCCTAAGCCGGCTCTGTGGAGAAGTGCCCCTTTCCTGGGGGGTAGTTTCATGGGCTCTTCATGTGGACGCTAATCAACCTCCTTATATTAAAGGGTTGTGATGTATGGTCCCTTAATTTGTATAGGGTATGGAAAGGGTGTGTAACTACCCTAAGGCCCTTGCCGCGGTATCTTCTGGGTACTGGCGAAACCCTGGTTTGCGGGGTTTCAGATCGGCGTCACTGCTGCACATAAAATGAAGCCATCCCCAATCAATGTCGAAATGTACCTGAATCACTGAGATATGTCACCGTTCAAACCCTCAGCCCTAAACACCGAACCTCAGTCCCTGAACCCTAGGGTTTAGGGTTTAAGGTTTAGGGTTTAGGGTTTAGGGTTTAGGGTTTAGGGTGGGTTCAGGCCACAGCCGCTGCCCACAGCCGCCGCCCGCGCTGGCGTTTGCCCAGGCCAGGCTACGGCTTTGTGGGCAACAGAAGTGACAGTTTGGGGTTCAGGGACTTACCGTAACCCTAGATACGTTCAACCGCTCCAATGACTTTCTTCTTCAAGTAGCAACAAGTTGAGTGCAGCCAAGAAAGTCGATTCCCCCGCCCCCCAACGCACTCCTAGTTTCCACATTCGGATTCTACCCCAAATCCTAAACCCCTAACCTCCTAAACCCAGAGCTTTACTTTCTAGAAACCCCCCGAATTGTCAAAGACAGGAGCCCGGTTACTCACAATCCCCTTCTAGATACAGTACAAGCTCCACTTTGGCACTCAAATGAGCAGTGTCATTGTGAGGCAGATTCAGCCTTCGGATGATTCTTCACAAGTTCTGATTTTCTTCTGTTCTCTTAACTACTTATTCGCAACACTGGCGAACGTACAAACCCTGAACCCTAAACCCCAAACCCTAAACCCTAAACCCATCGTTTCACTTAAAAGGCATTAGGCTTCGGTCAGCTTTTCCCTAAACACCCACTCAAGTTCACTCACTTAGCCACGCTTTGAACTATGACTTTCTTGGACTCCTTTACTTTCTAGGAATAATGTACAGTTGAACCTCTGTTTTCCTCGATTATTCCTAAGCCGATTATTCCCTAAACCTAAACCCTAAGCCCTAAGTCCTAAACCCCAAACCACAAACCCCAAACCCTAAACCGTAAACCCTAAACCTTAAACCCTAAACCCTAAACCCTAAACCCTAAACCCTAAACCCTAAAACCTAAACCCTAAACCCTAAACCCTAAACCCTAAACCCTAAACCCTAAACCCTAAACCCTAAACCCTAAACCCTAAACCCTGTCCCTTCACTAGGAACTGAAGCCCCCCTGAGAAGGCCAGCGAGCCTGGAGGCTGGTGCGGGGATGGGTTTAGGGTTTAGGGTTTAGGGTTTAGGGTTTAGGGTTTAGGGTTTAGGGTTTAGGGTTTAGGGTTTGCGGCTTTAGGAAGTTTACAGATTTAGGGAGTTTACGGATTTAGGGCGTTTACGGATTTAGGGCGTTTCGGAATTTTTAACCCCACCTGACTACCCCCTCCCTAAAACATGGCTTCTTTGAATATCATTTCCGTAGGCCTTATTAAGGTGGTGGGGTGGAGGGGGGGCAGTATGGGCAGCATATGAGTTCGCTGCCACGGAGGCGGATTTCGCGTTTAGAGCGTTTAGGTTTGGGGAGAGGGTATGGAGATGTGGGTGAGGAGAGGGGATGGCCATTCTAAACAAAGGAGTGCCTTCAAAGACGCAAAGCTGGGTTTAGGAGTTGGTGGTTTTGGAGTTTGGGGCTTGGGGTGGTTGAAGTTTGATGGTTTGCGGTGGCTTGTTTCCTAGGACCCGGAGTAGGCCCTTATTCCCCTTTTTGTTGGGGGTTTAGATTCCCTTCTAAGCCCCTTTAAACCAAAAAGGGCACCCTTTTTGTTTTTCCTCGGTTCCTCTTGGGCCGAGTTTCTTAAGGTATAGTTTCATGTCCCTTAGTAAAGGGGTACCCCTTATATAATACCCCTTACATACCCTATACAAATTAAGGGCCCATACATCCGAACCCTTTCGAGGAGGTTAGGCACCAGACTAAGGACCCACGTAACTACCCTAAGATAGTTTCAAGGCTCGCTGGAGGATGAGGGGGAGGTGTTCTTCGAGCATCCCTACCAGGCGCACACAGATGCATGGGGACACGGGGAAATCGACTGGAAGCTCCTGCTGCAGGGCAAGAATCCCTGCCCCCCCCCCCCCAAACCCCCAAAAAATTCCTATTTAAAAGCCTAAGCCCTAAACCTGAAAGCACAGTAAGCCCTAAACTCTAAACTCTAAACTCTAAACTGAACAGGGCTCTTGCAGCAGCACGGCTTCAGTAAGCAAGGAAGCAGAACTCTCTCGACCAAGGCTCTTCACTGTGAGCTTTGCCTGCTTCGACGGCCTTCGGATGCAGCGTCTACGGTTTGGGGTGTAGGGCTCAGGGTTGGAAGGGGCAGATGCTAACAGCAAAGCGCCTTCGGATCTACCGCAAAAACTCAAACCCAAACAAAACAGGGTTCAGGGTTTGGGGTTTAGTAGGTGAAGTTAAAAGGAAAAAACTCCCCGAAACCCTCACCCCGCGAGGAGGCCTTCGATCATGCAGCTGCCGCCCAGATGCTGGCGACCTCATCCTCGGACCCTGGGGCCCTACTGGAGGCTGCTGCGGGGCCGATGTTGGGGGTTTAGGGTTTAGGGTTTTCCAAAGTGCCGCGGTCCCGACCCGCGCCAGGGAGTGGTGGCGGGTCGGGCCGCCTCGGTGCAGCGGACCCCACCCCAGCCACCCAAAGTACCGCCTTTTTTCGGGTTTCGAGCGGCGCCCCCTATCAACAGGGCTTTTACGAGCTCGAATCGCCCGACAATCGGGGCGGCAACCCTGGCGGGGGCGGCAACCCTGGCGGGGGCAACCCTGAAAGGTTGCCCTTGCCAGCGGTCACATGGGCAGAGCCTTTCGCGATGTCAGAGAACCATTGGTCCAAGCAACAGCGTGAGAGACCGCTTGACTTTCCCGGTGACGCTGCACACACACTTCAACAGGCACAAATTTCCTGGCGGCAAGATGGCAACCCTGGCGGACACAACCGGGCGGGGGCAACCCTGGCGGGGGCAACCCTGGCGGGGGCAACCTGCAACCCTGCCGGAACAACCCTGGCGGGGGCAACCCTATGGGCTCCTCTAGGTGTGCATTGAGAGTGGCCTGGTGGGCAACCTTGGCGGGGCAACTTTGGTGGGGGCAACTCCAAAAACAACCCTGGCAGGCAACCATGGCGGGGGCCTGGCGGGGGGCAACCCTGGCTTGCGGGGGCAAACCTGGACGGGCCCTGCGAATGGCAGGGCCGGGCCGACGAAGCTGGGCCACCCTGGTCGGGGCCACCTTGCAGTAGCAGGGTCGGTGGGGGGGGCAGGCCAAGTAGAAGCCACCACAGCCACCTTCTCACGGTGGGGGCCACCGCCTTGGTGGGGGGCTGCCCTGGTGGGGCACTCTGCAAGGGCCACCCTTGGGGCCTTCCTTCATAGAGAAGGACGACGAAGCATCTAACGGCTGCCAGGCAGTCATAGAGAAGGACGACGAAGCTGGCGGGGCCATAACAAGGCCACCCTGATAGGGATGTGGCGGGGGGCATCCTGGTGGGGGCCGGCCACCCACAGCCACCCTAACACGGTGGGGGGCCACCGCCTTGGTGGGGCCGCCCTGGTGGGGCACTCTGCAAGGGTCATCTTTAGGGCCTTCCTTCATACAAAAGGACGACGAAGCATCTAACGGCTGCCAGGCAGTCCTGGCACCTTCATAGAGAAGGACGACGAAGCTGGCGGGGCCACGGGGCCACCTTGGTGGGGGCCACCTGACGTGGGCCACCGTGGCGGGCCAAGCGCTCAGCCACAAGAGAATGTAATGTCCTGCCAGCGTCGGCGGCATCAACGCTGTTGACGAAGCCTACCTCACAGTGCACGCCTGGCGCCGTGGATGCACGGTACCGCTAATCGTACTTCCAAAAGCGTGACGAGAAACGCCCCGCCCAGCGCGTAGTCGCTGCCCCATGGCCTGCTGCCCTTCTGCCTGCATCAGCGCCAGGGGGGGTGGGGCAACCCTGGCGGGGGCACGTAATAGTGAACTTTGGCAGGCCCTTCATAGACAAAAACGACGAGTAAAAACCCTGGCGGAGCAACCCTGGCTTGGCCAGGCCGAGGCCCAGGCATGCCCGGGGCGCATAACTGGGCAGCGGACTTTGAGTAGAGGCGAAGAAAGATAAACTTTTGACAAAGTCCTGCATGAGAACCCCCGTCGTCTTTTTGGCCGGTAAGAGACCAATACAGTCAATACAGGCAGACGTAAATGAGGGCAGGGCACTCAGAGTTTGCAGTCCAATCTTATATGCGAAATGCAAGCAGAGGAAGACGAAAACTGCGTGTAGAAGAAGATAGGGAGGCTGCAGAGTCAACAGGGCGCTCGATAGCGTCAGCTTGGCTGCAATGTGGCACTGAGAAAATCGCAGGTCCGCTGCGCTCGGCGGGCCACCCTACGCAGAGTGTGGCTGATCTCGAGGCAAGCAGCCTCCACGTAGTCGTGCATATCTCCAACGTGGCGACTGGCAGCTGTGTGCGCGGGACAGGCCTCCTCCAGCTCCACAAGCCTGTATGACAAACGCCGCTCCAGCGCGTCTACTTGCGAGCGCGCCATCATCAATCCTTCTGCTTGCAGCTGGAGCGCCTCCTGCAATCTTATCCAGTCGCGCTCAGAAATATTGTGGGCCAGTCCTGGTTCTTGGCTACGCCGCCGTGGTTCGGTTGGAGTGGCCGAGCGGCTGCGGCTGCGTGAGCGAGCACCGCGACGTGGAGCAAGATGGATCGGCGTGGGGGCGTTCGAGATGTCTTGCGTGTGCGAGAAATCTTGCATGAGAAACTTGCGACGCCGCGGGCAGATGGCTAAACTGGGGAACGGCGAGACTCCAGCTTGAACAAGAATAGCTCAGTGCAGACATGCTGCCTAAGTAGTGAAAAGAACCGGTTGCTGCTTCCCGTGTTTGCTCTCTATGTCTGACTCTCTGACTCTTTGACTGTCTCTGTCTCTGTCTCTGTCTCTGTCTCTGTCTCTGTCTCTGTCTCTGTCTCTGTCTCTGTCTCTGTCTCTCTCTCTCTCTCTCTCTCTCTCTCTCTCTCTCTCTCTCTCTCTCTCTTTCTCTCTTTTTCTTCCTCTCGCTTTGCCTCTCTTCTCTCTTTCCTCCTTCCCCTGCGTCTCATCTGCCGATCTTTCTGGCATGCACAACAGCACACGCAATGCAGATCTTTTCCGCAGGCGCGAGAGCAATCCATTCACAATAGCTGCGCTGGCGCGTAGGAGCCTCACCTATACTGAGATTCAAAAGGAAGCGCCGGGTAGTTCCTGCAATCTCTACAGGCGTCGGTGCATGGCCAGCGCACAGCGCTGTCGAGACCGGTGCGAGGATGCACATGGCAGTCGTCTACCGCTGGTCGTCGGCGCCAGTCGCCAGAGCGGCCATGTCACGGCGTGTCCGAGGAGTCTGCGTCACAGTGCGCCTTGAACACCAGCCAGGCCAGGGTGTATGCAACGGAGCAGTAGGTGGTCCACGTTGGAGCTTTGCGCCTCTCGAATTTCTGAAGGGATGGCAGGGCGAAGAGTTGCAAGGTTTCCTCCTTGAACAGGGCCAGGAAGGCACGGACCGCGTCCTTCTTTGGTTCCCGAGTCTGGTACTTCTCGGCAAACTCCAAAGTCCGCTCATAGTTGCGAAGGACAGCTTCCTTGGACCAAGCCGCTTTCAGCAGTTCTGCGCGGGCTTCGTCGACTTCGTCTTCGGTAGTCCATTTGGCTCGATCCGGCTCAGGCAGAGTACCTACCTGCATGCGGTCCCAGACATCTTTCTCAGGTAGGAGCAGCACATTGCTCTTGCCCTTGCTGGAGTCTTCGTGGATAGCAGCTTGGATCCAGGCCAGGCGGGCCTCGCGCACCATCTCAGTAATGCGCTTGGAGACGCGCTCAGCGTTGGCTTGCAGGACGTCATCTTCCGCCGTGGATCGCAAGCCAGCACGTTCGAGAACCAGGGTCTGAACCTCGACAGGCAAACGCTTGAGCAGCCCGATTTTGTCTTTGACAGCCAACTCAGCACTATCGGCTGCCGTGGCAAGCTCTTGAGCTTTGGTTTCAAAGGCTTGAATCTCTGCCAGCGGCCAAATGTCCCGAAAGGACGGCAGCGCAGCGACTGCAGCAGGGACGGCTTCCGCCAATGTGCTGTCACTGCCATGCTCGACCTTCCGCTGCTTCTGGCGAACGCTGCGACTTGGCGAGTCGCTGGAAGAGGAGGTCTTCTTTGTATGGCGGCGGGCCCGTTTTGCCTTGGGGTCCGAAGCATCGCGTCCCTTTGCCTTCTTCTCCGTCTTGCGATGCTTCTTGTGCTTGACCTCGTTGCTTTTCTTGTGCGCCCGGGCGTTCTTCTTCTTCTTCTTGCCACTGAGCGCCGAGCTCGAGTCCGTGGAAATGGAGTCAGAGTCATTGACAGAAAGTGGCGTCGAGGAGGAACTCCCTGCAGCTTCGGCGTCCAACTGGCCGAAAGTGCGCTCGCGGCGCATATTCTTTTTCTCGTCCGCCTTGATGCCGTGAGCAAGGGCCTTGAACAGCCGATCTTCCTCTTTGGGATGCGCAAGCCAAGCTTGTACATGCTTGGTCTGCTTCTTGACTTCCGGAACCTTGCTTGCCCACCAGCGAATGTCTTCAGAGATTGCCGCCAATTCCAACAGCGCCACAAGACCGGTGTACACGGCCGCAGCAGCTTCGGCAGCCTCAGCGATCACTGTGCCCTGGTCTCGTGCAGCTTTCTGGATCTGCTTGAAATAGACCTTGCACATTTCCTGCGAGGCGCCGCTGTCTCGCTCGACGTCTCTGTTCAGGTTGAAATATCGGACCGCTTCATTGAGGGATTCTTTCTCGAGCATTGCTTGGATTTGCGGCAGGGATGAGGCCAGTTTCGGGGCAAAGAGCGCCGCGGAATCCAGCGATGCAGAGGACAAGTTCAGTCCCATCAAGGGTCGGCGCAACAGTTCACTGTAATCGCCGTCCAGGATCTTCCTCAGGTGCTCCGTGGTCAGGCGAGATGCAGGGTCGAACAGGGGCCTGCCTTGATTGTCTGGGTACGACCGAAGTTCCCACTTGCGCAGGAACTTATAGAGGTCGACGCGCGTGATGTACTGAGATTTCTCCCCAGCTTCGCCCTTGCCCTTTCCACGGACGCTTCCACGACCGCGACCCATGGCACGAGCAGAGCTGAGCTCACGCCGAACTTTTCGTGTGTGTGCGAAATCTCGAGCCACACGGGCGGCACAATAAGCGTGTTACTGCAGAAGCACAAGTCATCAGGACAATCCAAACATGCGGGAACTTTCCTACACCGGCCTACGTCATGCAGATGACAGGGGGCAGGTTATAGTCAGCAGAGAAAAGTATATATATATATATACAGACACGGCAATCAATCTCTCTCTCTCTCTCTATGTATATATTGTATGTTATATGCTAATATAACTGTATATATATGTATATATATATTTATTTATTTATTTATTTATTTATTTATTTATTTATTTATTTATTTATTTATTTATATCTGTATATATGTACACAAAGACCTGGGCCACAAAACACCGACCGCTCGAAAAACAGGCAAACATGCAAACATGTTCTAAAGTGGCGGCCGCTGGAAATCTAGGCGCATGCAGATTTACACCACGCCGGGCATTTATAAGCACACGTATATTTATATACTGGGCGGACCTGGCAGGGGCTATCCTGGCGGGGCAACCTTGGTGGGTGGCAAATCTGGGTCAGCATATAGCACTTGAACAATAGCCTTATAACGGCTGTCAGGCCATCTTAACAGAACCGCCCGGCAACCCTGAAAGGCAACGGGGCGATGGGCAACCCTGGCGGGGGCGCTTTGGCAGGGCCTTTCATAGAGAAGGACAACGAAGCTGGTGGGGGAACCGCCCTGGTGGGGGCCTGGCGGGGCTGGAAGGGGCCCGCTGGTAGGGGCCACCAAAGGCCACGCTGGCGGGGTGGCAAATGTGGTTCAACCCTGACGAGGAACAACCGGGCGGGGGCAACCCTTTCTTTGGGCAACTCTGGCCTTCCTTCATAGAGAAGGACGACGAAGCATCTGGGAGAACCCGCCCGAACCCTGGGCGCAACGGGGCGATGGCCAAGGCCCTTCATATAGAAGGACGAAGCTAGCGAGGCCTGGCGGGGGCCACCCTGATGGGCACCCTGACGGCCTGCTTACCTGGCCAAACCACCTCATCAAGCGCTGTCGGCCACCCTGCGAGGGCCACCCTTGCAGGGTGGCTTGGGCCACCTTGGGTCTGGGGCAACCCCTGGTGGGGGCAACCCTTGTGGGGGCAAGCCTGGCGGGAGGCAACCCGTGGGGGCACGGCAACCCGCGAAAGGGCAACCCTCGTGGGGCAACCTGGTGCCCTGGCGGGGGCAACCCTGGCGGGGGGCAAACCTGGCGGGGACCGTGATGGGACAACACTGATAGGGGCAACCCTGCAAAGCAACCTGGGGGGCAACCCTGGCGGGGGAGGCAACCTGCCAGGGGCAACCCCAAAGCAACGCAGAAAAGAGGGCGGACGAACCGGGGGACCAAAATTAGGCTGTGAAAAGGTCGCGGGGGCGGCCCTTCATCAGAATTGAGGGTTAAAAACTCTGAAATACCCTGAAAAACATTGAAAAACCATGAAAAACACTGAAAAATTCTGAAAAACCTTGAAAAACCTTGAAAAAGCCAAGGCCCGCGCGCGCGAGGGCCAGGACAAGATCCGGGGTCCCCCTCATGTGGGGTGTTTTTGGAGGCAAACTTTCCCTCTCAAGGGGGGGTCGGAGTTTGAGGCAAGGGGGGGTATCAGAAGACTATTTTGCCTTTAAAATTGAAAAATACGACCCCCCTTGACCAAAACTAGGCTGTGAAAAGGTCGCGGGGGCGGCCCTTCATCATAATTGAGGGTTACAAACCCTGAAACACCCTGAAAAACATTGAAAAACCATAAAAACACTGGAAAACCTTGAAAAACCTTGAAAAACTTGAAATCCTGTGAAGGCTCGGTTTTGGTCAAAATCCAGAAAACGAGAGGCCCCCCTTGACCAAAACTAGGCTGTGAAAAGGTCGCGGGGGCGGCCCTTCATCATGGGTTACAAACCCTGAAACACCCTGAAAAACATTGAAAAACCATAAAAACACTGAAAAACCTTGAAAAACCTTGAAAAACTTGAAATCCTGAAACCGGTGAAGGCTCGGTTTTGGTCAAAATCCAGAAAACGAGAGGCCACCCAGAGGCGTCGATTTCAGTACTAAAAAATCGCATTTTTAACTGGGGCCCGGGCCGATCCTGGGGTCCCCCTCATTTGGGGTGTTTTTGGAGGCAAACTTTCCCTCTCAAGGGGCAACCCTGCCGGGAACAACCCTGGCGGGGGCAACCCTGGCGGGGGCAACCCTGGCGGAGCAACCCTGGTGGCGGGGCCACCCTGGCGGGGGGAACGCTGGTGGGGCAACCCTGGCGGCTCTGGGGGGCGATGGTGGGGCAACCTGGCGGGGGCAGGGCAACCCTGGCAACCCTGGCGAGAGCAACCCTGGTGGGGGCAACCCTCCGAAACAGCGGGCAACGTTGGTGGGGGCAATCCTGGCGAACCTAGAAAAGGACAACGAAGCTGGTGGGGGAACCAATTTGGCGGGGGCCGGAAGGGGCCCGCTGGTAGGCCACCTCGCTCAATGTGGGTCAGCCCTGACGAGGAACCGGGCAAATCTGGCCTTCCTTTTTAGAGAAGGACGACGAAGCATCTGGGCTTGTAACGGCTGCCGGCTTGGGCCACCTTGGCCTTGGGGCAACCCTGGTGGGGGCAACCCTCGTGGGGGCAGCCCTGCTAAAGGGCAACCCTCGCGGGGCAACCCTGGTGCCCTGGCGAGGGCAACCAGCAACCCTGGCGGGGCATCTTGGCGGGGACCCTGGGGGCAACTTTGGGACCCTGGCGGGGGCAACCAGGGGCAACCCTGCTATGGCAACCCTGGTGAGGGCAACCCGGGCAAACCGGAACCAACCCTGCGCTGGCCGGGCGGCGGCAACCCTGGTGGGGGGGGGCAACCCTGATTAGGGGGCAACGCTGGCGGGGCCACCTGGCAGCGGCAACCCTGCCGGGGGCAACCCTGGCGAAGGCAACCCTGGCGGGGGCAACCCTTGTGAGGGCAACCCTCGCAGAGGGCAACCCTAGGGGGGGCAACCCTGGCGGGGGGCAACCCTGGGGGCAACCCTGACGGGGGCAACCCTGGCGGGGGCAACCTGGTGGGGGGCGCAACAGCTTCTCAGGCCCGACCTCCCCCGCCGGGGTCGCGCGTCGGGGGTTTGGTTAATCCATTATTACATTGCGCCCTATGGCTAGCAGGGATGCATCAGGTGTGGCAAGCTCGATCTGCTTGGCAAAGCAAGCAGATCTCGAAGCGGTAGCGTTCAGTTGTACCGGCCGCCGCCTGGCGCGGGCGGCCTATGGTTTAGGGCTAGCGATGGCCATGCCCCATTGCCGCACACAGGTTCGAGGACATAGCATCGACCCGAACCCTGATACTTACACAAACACAATCGACCGCGAGAAACCCACACCAGACGACCCAGTCTAGGCCATATAGACCCCAACCCCGACCATCTTGAGGCCCATACGCATTGCATACAGAACAGACCATAGCATCCGACCTCCAACTCTTGAGGTAAGAAAAGTGGGCATAGTAGGAAAACCGTTTGGGAGGCGTCGGGGAAACAAAGGGCAGCTACTAAACCCCCGAGGAGTCTATGGGTGTCTTGGCACTAGGATGTAGGGTTTAGGGTTTGGGGTTGAGGGTTTAGGGTTTGGGGTTTAGGGTTTAGGGTTTGCACTTTCAAGATGCACCCCCACTCCGCGACCATTCCGCCATCTGCGTGCGCCACAGACGCTTATACACTCCGAACCCTAAAGCCCCAAACCCCAAGACACCCTGCAAACCCCATAGACCTTAAACCCCTACAAAGCGTAGACACCAGCCACCCCATCTAAACCCGAACCCTAGAATCCAAAGCCTTACAAACCCTGTACACCCAGCACCCTTTCAGGGTGCAACCTGTACAACCCTGGAACCTATAACCTGCAAACTGTGCAATCCTTGAACTCCAAACCCTAAACCCTAAACCCTAAACCCGAAACCCGAAACCCTAAACCCTAAACCCTAAACCGACGGTGCCTTGTTGATGCCCTTGCTTACCGCGTTTTTTTCTGACGAGCAGGTCGCAGAGGCCGCGTGGACGCACCGGTACGGGCAGGGCCTGAGCAACTGGGAGCCTCAGACTGCGGGCTTGCTGAAGTCTCGGATTTGGGGTTTAGGGTTTAGGGTTTAGGGTTTAGGGTTTAGGGTTTAGGGTTTAGGGTTTAGGGTTTAGGGTTTAGGGTTTAGGGTGAGTGTCGCTTTCTCCCCCTAAACCCTGAACCCTCAACTCCTAAACCCTAACCCCTAAAACCCCGAAGCCCTTAACCCTAAAACCTTAAAACAGGGCTACTGAAGCTGCGCTTAGGAAGAAAATCTTCGAGGGGGTGGCTTCGTCCACAGAGTGACGGGCCACCACGCTCGCAAGGAGCCGCGTTGGGTTCAGGGTCTAGGGTTCAGGGTTTATGGTTGAGGGTTTGGTGTTTAGGATTCAGAGCTCAGGGTTTAGATCCGCTGACTTACGGCTAACTTCTCCAATTTCTGAACTTGGTTGTTCTTCTTTCCGGCTTGGCTTGGTAGAGGTCATGAAACTTGGGGAAGTAAGACAACCTAAACTCTAAACCCTAAGCCCTGGACCCTAAGCCCTAAACCCTAAACCCTAAACCCTGGACTGCTGGCAGGATCCACGCAGCCACATCTTGCGCGAGCTGCAGCTGGGTTGCTTTCTGATTGCCAGGGCTGCTTGCTCGCACCCCCGAGAGGCTCAGCGCGGCAGCCCAATGGTACCCTTTACCCTTTTTGGGCGGGTTCTGGGTTCCCTTACCAAGTAACCCACCCAAAACACGGGTGCCCTCATTACATTATGATTATTGGGCTACCAAGTCAGAGGAGCCGGTTACAAGTAGGGCAACTAGAGCTACACGTGGTTCTAACCTCACTTAAAAACCTGCAAGGGCACCAAGAGGAATGGAAAGCCGCAAGAACGACCAGCAATTGGATTGGTATATTCTTATTTTTGTTTATTCGCATATGATTTATATTTCCTTAATTCCACTCATTTTTTTAATGTAAAAGTATCATATTATTATTGAAGCTCATAAAAGGAGGGCGCAGCCTGCTTTTGTTTTGTGCGTCTTTGCCTTTTTCTGTCCAGGGCTTCGGAAGGCGGGTGGGTGTGAGCATAAGAAGCTCTGCTTTACAGAGGCCGAGGAAGAGGTTAGGGTTTAGGGTTTAGGGTTTAGGGTATGGGGTTTAGGGTTTAGCGTTTAGGGTTTAGGGTTTAGGGAGCCCCAAACCCTAAATGAGAATGGTTGGGGAAGCTGGGGCTAGGTCACTTCGCGATGGCGCGCTCTCCGTAGCTAGAACGCTTTCTCTCACATCATCCATTTATTCACACCCCCTAGACCCGAAACCCTCAGACCTCAGACCTTAAGTCACCCTAAACCCTAGCCCTAAACCCTAATCCTTAAACCCTAAACCCTAAACCCTAAACCTTAAAACCACCAAAGCTCCCAGAAGCTGCAGGTTCGAGCACAGCTCGGCGTGCCCGGCGTGCCGTAGTTGGGAGCACCTCCGTGAGAAGCTTGGTCGCCCAGCGGCGCCCTTGTTTGCTCTTGTTTTGGTTCCAGGGTTTAGGGTTTAGGGTTTAGGTTTTAGGGTTCAGTAGGGTTTAGGGTTTAGGGTATGGTTCAAGTTTCCCTTACAAAAGTAGCCAACCCCCAAAACAGTGGCACCCAAAATAGGGGTAGCCCTTTTCTAACCCATATAGAACAGAATCCCCCCAAAACGGGTAACCCAAAACCCTATAACCCTATAAACCCCAAACCCTAAACCCTAAACCCTAAACCCTAAACCCTAAACCCTAAACCCCCATATGGATGCTGGGCTACCAAGGCTAAAACGCCCGCGCGATCCTCGATCCCCGGCTTGGCGAACATGGGCCTCTCATCCAAGGCCATGCAGGATGAGGGTTTAGGGTTTAGGGTTTAGGGTTTAGGGTTTAGGGTTCAGGGCTCAGGGTTTAGGGTTTAGGGTTTAGGGTTTGGGGGTGGCTGTAGAGCATTTCCACTAACCCACCCCCCCCCCCCCCCCCTGGGCTAAAAATCCTAGCCCCTCAACCCGAAGCTCTGAACTTTTAATCGACCCGCGAAATTGAATTCCTTCACCCCTAAACCCTAGTCTCTAAACTTTCAGAGCCTCATTTTGTCGGCCGGCCCGCTTGCGATCCATAAGGCGCGTTTCGGCTTGTGGAGGCGTTGGAGGTTTCATGTTCTCACATTTAGTTGCTGAGTGAGTACACTTTACACTTTTTGGGATACTACAATCCCCTATAGAACTGAAAGTGTACATTTTTGGGGGGCTCATGAACTCAGCAACTAGGAAAATAAATTTAGTAGGCCTTTGAACAAAACATATTTCCATTCTTAATTACTGCGCAATCAGTCGTCAAGGGAGCGACTGCTAATGACTGGTTTTTTAGGGCTTATCTAAGGGGCCACGGATCACTTACGACACCTAAAGTCTGAGCCCCAAACCCTAAACGCTAATGTGGTGGGTGGGGTTTAGGTCGTCCTCGTGTGTCCGTGCAGCATATCTCATGCAGTGGTCTATGTCGGAGGTCCAGGTCATCCTTGCATGTGGAGGCTTTGGGGAGGTGCTTTAACTCCTGGACGTTCATGGGTTTAGGGTTTAGGGTTTAGGGCCAGCACACGTCAGGCATGGATGTTCGTAGTGACCTCGTGGAGAACAAAGCTGTTCCACGACCGTGGTCACAGAAGGTTGCGGAGAGTTGCTGCATCATTCTGCATCCTGTTGTACTGCGATGGAAGATTTCTTTGGCCCATTGGCTCCCGCGGCTTTGTGGGTTTCGGGTTTCGGGTTTCTCCAAGGGCTCCCTTGTAGTTGTTTTTTGGGTTAGTTATATATTAAAGGGGGTTTTAGCATAACTACCCCAAAAAGGAACTACATAGGAGCCTTTGGGTAGGAATGTTCAGCTCAATGGTAAGCAGTGTTGATCGGAGCTGAAGAAGACTGAGTCGCGTGGCATGCCCGATAGTGGCTGTCTGCGTTCGCAGGTCTCGTAAATGGTGAGGGAATACTTGTGGCTCACTGTATATGGGGGTTGACACAAATAGGGCAGCCCTGAATAGAGGGATTCCCTTGTAATAAGCACCCCAATAAGGTACCTCGATCCCATATCTGCTCGCCCGGCTTGTGTAATGTATGCGCTTGCCACGCGCTTGCTCACAGATCTCACGGTGGAAATTCTGAATTGAAAGCTATCCTCTGCGAGTGATATGGACCCACGGCGCCGAAGCGAAGCCACATGCCAAGACAGCCAATTTTATCTCAGCTTTGACAGACCCAGCAGGCCCTAAATCACAAAGGCCAGATGCAACAGCACCTCTCCCCCTAAACCGTGAACCATGTCGCATTGAATATATATTTCGTACTGTTCTTTGACATAGCTACAATTACTATTGGTAGCCGCCGTCGTCGTAATTGTTTGGTCTTGAATACCCTGCCAATTTTTAGGGGCTTTGGGCCGAAACATTCAGATGTCGACTGTGGGTCTAGGGTGGGTGGAAAAATAGAGGTTCTGAATACTTACTAATAGTTTCCCTTATGGATGCCTTTCTATGTTTCTTGCCCATTCAGATTCAGCTTCTCCACGTGAGTAGGTGGGCATCGTAGTTCTGAAAGTGGTGAAATTTCTAGGATCTTGAAGTGTTTGAAACAGAAGTTCGAGTTAATAAAGTTGTGCACCGCTCCTCTGTGCAGGCTGTGGCGTGGCAGTGGTCGGCCACCTACGTAGAATGCTTGGAGGTTCATGGTATTCAAGGACCCATTATAACTGTACCTAAAACCCAATTATGACCATATTAGGGCACTTAAAGGGCTTATAAGTAGTGCAGTTTTTATTGGGGTATAACCCTAAACCCTAAACCTTCAACCCTAAACCCTCAACCCTATAAGTACCATGAGCCTTCAAGTGTCCTTGGCAGGACCTCAGGGCGCTGCCGGAGCACGGCCAAGCTCGACAAACGGTTTTAGGGTTTAGGGTTTAGGGTTTAGGGTTTAGGGTTTAGGCCCTGAAAACAAGCACCTGGATTTCCGCGGCGCGGCACAAGGAGGAGGCCAGGTGGCTGTTTAATAACATGGTCCCCTTTTGCGGGACGCCCGAACAGCTCCGCATTCTACAAGAAATCCAGAAGGGGCCGAAGTTTAGGGAACCGGCCGCAATAGGATAACCACTTGAGGGTCTAAGGTTTAAGTTTAGAGCATGTGGCATTGGCGCTGGTGTCTTGTTCTCTCGAGATTCGGATGGGTTCAGCTGCCCACACCATTCAGGGCTTGGGGCTCTGGAAGTTCTGCTGCTTTAGAGGGTTCACGGATTTAGGAGTTGCTATATTTGGGAGGGACGCTTTAAAAACGGGGTTGGGAATCCAAGAACAGTTATCAACTTTCTCGTTTGAGCCCTAAACCCGAAGCCCGAAAAACCCTAAACCCTAAACCCTAAACCCTGAACCAAAATAGAAGCCCTCAGGCTCTTCAATGCAACCTTGGATCCTGTTGGCCTTTGTGGGTTCCTACAAGCCTTACTAGCTAAGTGAGCACACTTTACAGGGTTTAGGGTTTAGGGTATAGGGTTTAGCTACCACAATCCCCTTAGTGTATACACTTTTTTGGGACTTCTGAACTCAGCAACTAAGAAGCTGAGATGTTCAGGTCCCGAAGTGCAGCTTGGCAAGAACAGCTCGGTGTGGGGTTTCGGGTTTAGGGTTTTAGGGTTTTAGGGTTTAGGGGGTTAGGGTTTTAGGGTTTAGGGTGTAGGGTTTAGGGTTGTAGGGTATATGGCGGGGTATATCAGGGGCTTCCTAGTTGATGGCTCATACAAAGGGCCCTGAAAGAAACCATGACCAAGACCACTGGGCGGATCCAAAATGTAGAACCCCCAAAGGAGTTCCCTGCAGGAAACCTTAAGGAGATCTACTTTTTGGATCCTCTCGGGGGTCTGGGAAGAAAGCTTGGGCTCACTCATGTTCCGACTTTCCTGCCTCTTCTTCTTTTCGCCCTCGCCTTGCAAGGCAGAGAGGCACCACCTAGATGGCCGAGCTTCCCATCGCTGCTGGTTGCGGGCCAGCTTGAGCCAAGGAGGTGAGGGGTTAGGGTTTGGGGGTTAGGGACCCTAAACCCTAAACCCTAAACTCTAAACCCTAAACCCTAAACGGGCCCAGGAGGGTCCCGAGAAAAGGCAGCCACGCCATCAACGGCGAAGACCCGGACTGCACACGCGTGCTTTCTTGGACGCCTTAGCGCGCCAAGGACGCTTGACATGATGGACGCTGTAAAGTCGAAAAGTCTCGATAGACTCGATGTAAACCCTAGAAAACCTCATGACTTGTAAATCACATCTAAAAGGTTCATAAGCTCTATGCACCACCTTCCAAATTGACATGGTGAAGCTCTGATGTTAAGTTAAAGGCTTTGTCCATGAAATGTTGCTCTCGGCTATTTTGGCATGGGGTGCATGGGGTGTGTTGCGGAGAACGAATCGAGCTATCTAGTAGGTGGTTCCCTCCAAAGGTGCCCCGAGGTTTAGGCTTTAGGCTTTAGGCATTAGGGTTAGGGTGGAGGGCGAAACGTTGCAGCGGATCATGAAGGGCCCGTACTACCCATGGGGTTGAAGGCTCAAGGTTCATGGTACTTACAAGCCCAGTTGCAGTCTACATATGACTTACTTAAAGGACATAATATCCCTTGAGAAGTACAGTGATATTTGGGCTTATGAGTACCCCGAACCTCCAAGTAGGGAACCTAAACTCTAAACCCTCCCAAGCCCCGTGGAGGATCTACTGAGCACGCGCTTCTCCCAAAATCCCCGCGCAATGTCAAACCATAGAAGCCCGCCAAAGCACCCTGGCTGTTCAGGGTTTCGGGTTTTTGGCTTAGAGTTTAAGGTTTAGGGTGTCCTGCATTCAGCTTTAAGGTCAAAGCAGACACGCTCCTGCGAGCCAGGCTGGCTCAAATGCAGTCGATTGCACAGCCCGTCAGGAACCTCAAGCCCTAAATTCTAAGCACGAAGCACTAAGCCCTTGATCCTCAGAGCAACCCCCCTTCATAAGCCCCCTCCACCAAACCAGTTCTACGGCCCCACGTTTAGGCCCCAAATAGAAGACAAGTCTAACTCAACACCGGGCCAGGTTGCTTCTCACTTGGGGTTTTCTATATTAAGGGCTACCTTCTGTCCATTGTGTTGTTAGGGGATCTTATTGTTTTATTGGTCTATAAGGGGCCCCCTAATTCCCTAAACCCTAAACCCTAAACCCCTCATTCTCGTAAACACCCATTGTGGTTCAGTGCGTGAGCCATGGTTCAGAGCGACATGGCGAGCACGGCTCCCGATATGACCGTGGAGCAGATGATTGCCATGAAGGAGAGCCACCACATGGCCTCGGGTTTAGGGTTTAGGGTTTAGGGTGTGGGGTTTAGGGTTTAGGGTGTGGGGTTTAGGGTTTAGGGTTTAGGGTTTAGGGCTTAGGGTGAACACGGCCTGGGCT